CTTACAAATAGCAGCAACGGAGCATATTAATTGCACAATCGATCAACGATAAGCGAACTATCGATATCGATTTTAATTGAATAAGAAACAATTCATTTAAAAGGCAATCAGTCCAAGAAGGATGTATACCCCAACGAGCCAGCAGAGCCCAAAGAGCAAATAGAGTCCAACGGCTAAGCAAAATCCTCAAAGAGAAGACACACCTCAAAGTCGAGTCAAAGCCAAAGACGGAGGCAGACTTAAAGCTGCAAATGCTGGATATAGACAACAGCTCCTGTCAACATATCAGAATTTCAAGTTATGGTCAGAGGTAGCCAACAACAGTCACCATACACAGCACATCAGCATCCGTAGCCAATCGATTGCGGTGCAAGAAAATAGACATTGTGGTTGCATGCCACGCTCTCGTTGCATTCAAAAGAAGAAAAGAATTCAAATGGTGTTGAATTATTTAATTTTTAGTTCTTCCGTTCTTTTAACGAGTTTTGTCAGTTTCTTGCTTAGAGAATTAACTATTCCATTTAGCCAACTTAAATAACTTGAAGTCCTAATTAAAACATTAACGCAGTTTGCAATTTAATTTAATTGAATTGTCGACTTACTCGCAATATAAAAATTATATTAGCCTTTAATCTCTAGATACAATTTCCGCATAATTTAATATCCAAACTAATGAAACGACTTTATCTCTCTCTCGCTCTCTCTCTCTCTGTCTCTCTCTGTCTCTCTCTCTTTTTCTCTGTGTTTTGGTGTCTATATGAATGAATAAAACCCATAATAATAATAATAATAACGCTCATTAGGCCGTCCACTTAAAGTTAGTAAAACCTTAATCTCAATTCTGACAAGTTTTCTTATTCGTTCTATTTGTTGTTGTTGTTGTTGTTGTTGTTCTTGTGGCAAACAACAAAAATCAGTGGCAAAAATGAAGAAGAAGAAGAAGGAGAAGAAGAAGAAGAAGGAGAAAAAGAAAGTAAAAAGCAGAGAAACCAAAATCAGGCCAAAAGCGACGACGTCAAATAGTGCAAAGCAAATGTTTTATATTAGGTGGCAGCTGCCGGCAGGGGGCGCCACTAATGAGGCCCTTGGGGAACATATTAAACTTGAGGGGCAACAACAACATAAATAAAAGGGAAAACGGAGCGGGGTGCGGGGGTGAGGCGTGAGACGCGAGATGGTGGTAGATAATGCCAAAGGATGGGAATCAAGTATTGCACAGATTCGCCAGGACACATATGTTGTTGTGGTTGTTGGCAGTTGTTGGTGTGCAGTTTTCCTTGTTGTTGTTGTTGTTGTCACTGTTGTTATCACCCTAATGCAAAATGGGCAACTTTGCCAGTGCCAAACAACGCAACAACTTTTTAATTTAAAGCACAACAACGACAGCAATAAGAAACGAAGAAGAAGAAATCAAGTTGGAACGCTATAGTCGAATGCGCTCGACTAGCAGATACCCTGAAGAGAAGTCTTTGCCAATCACAGTTGAGATACGTCCTACATTCGTATATACATATATATAGAAAATTATGTTGTGAAACATGACTAAAAGATTTTCTCCGTTGTCTTAATGCAATTTTTAATTGATTAGAAAGATATATCCCCAAGAGCTTGACCTTTATCGATAGTTATCGATAACACGAGATAAAGTTGATGCTATGCAAATAGGAACTTACATTCTCCAACTCTTCAAATCTCTGAGATTGACTTGTTCATGCAGACGGACAGAGAGATACGGTTATATCGAAGTGGCTACTGATGCTGATCAAGAACATATATGCTGTAAGGGTATATGGAGATGCTTGCGTCTGTCCGTTACATACTTTAGCATTATACCCAGTTTAGCCACTTGTATGGATTCAGGGTGTAGAAATAAAAGGAGCAAGAACCGAGAAAAGAAAGTAAAAACTGTGAAGACAAATCACGGCGACCCCTAAAACAAACTTTGCCACGCACTCAACTCAACTGACTCTCGAAATTAAAGCAATAATAACTTTGTTAAAACAAAAAAAAATATATATAAAAATAATAAAAGCAAGAGAAAAAAACTTTTGGGCAACATTTTCCACTTTCCTGTCGTGTTTTCTTCTGTCCTGCCAGCCAGCTGTATGTTAAGATTTTATAGTGGTGTGCGTGTGTGTGTGTGTGTCTGTGTGTGTGTGAATTATGCTCCCGCAAACAAATAGCAGAGTTTTCTTTAAAAAGTCATGAATCAAACGAAAACCAAAAATTTGTGAAAATTAATAGAGCATAAAGTTCAAGTTGCTTTCTACAGTTCAGTGTGAGAAGACTACTTAGAATTTATTTGTGATACTTAATAACTGTTAAAACTATATATATATATATATATTGATCTGTCTTTCTTAGCATATCTGAGACAACTTAGTATATCATCCAGAATAATCGTGAATTCCTCTCTATGAGTGACATTCTTAAACGTTTCAGCAATATCATCTCCTGGCAAATTTTTAAGTTCCTGAACTCCAACATGGAATGCTCTAATTATTAATTATTATTATCTAATATCAACAGCTTGGATCATGAATGTATAATTAGTGTTGCCAATTTCACATTAATTGCAATGGCGCAGCTAACAAGCTCAAGTGATTTAATGCCAACTAACGAACATCCAACATTATTATACCAAAATAAGGGCAGACACACGCATGAGCGTGTCCTGTTCTACTTTGGGCCTTAAGCATTCAGGTATCTATCTCAGTTGATTACAATTAATGGCGCCAATTTGTTGTTGCTGCTGCTGCGCTTTATATGCGATTGTTATTAAAGGGGGGCGGCAGGCAGGCAGGCAGCAGAAAAGGTGGGAGGGGGCAGGAGCAGCAGCGGTATTTGGTTATTGCTCAAGACAAAAGAGCGGCTGGCATAAAAAGGACAAGACGAGCCCAGCGAAGACAAGAACGAAAGTGGAAAGCAAAACGACAATGACTGGCAACGGCATCGTAAAACGCGACCATCAAACGAGCACCAAAAAACAAACAACAACAACAAAAAAAAATGGAATGGCAGGGAATGGAAAAGAAAACAGAGACGCGCACAAAAAAAAATGCCGGGCTTTGTCTTCTGTGTGCGTGCGTGTGTGTGTGCGTGCGTGTGTGTGACTGTCTTATGCGAGTGGACGGGTGGATTTTGATGTAACTGGATGAGCACGGTTCTTAAACGTATATTGGAATATTTGGGTTGCTGCCTGATAAAGATTAAGCGGCAACAGCAGCAGCAGCAGCAGCGGTGAAAAGTCTGCACAAAAAGCGCTCAACTCGAAAGCAGCACAAAATGCTCAAACTTGCAGCTCAACTCGGGTAATAAAAGAGAGAGCCAGAGATAGAGAGAGAGAGAGAGAGGGAGAATGTGTGGCTGAGTGACTTTGTGGCCAGCAACTCAAATAGTTATGAGAAGCTATCGGAAGCAATCATTTCATATGCAACATTTATCAATGAAATTGTAACAAACATCCAACAAGATCATTGTAAGCTAGTTTTTTTGGTTTTGTTTTTATAATAATATAATGAAATGAACTTGAACATTAAACAATTAAATTGCAATGAGAAAAAGTCATATTTGAAATCATTGCAAAAGTGAACAAATAAATTCATGTCTGCGGCTCGTGTCACGTGACGACAAATTCGTGAGCTCAGCTTGGCTCAAGGCGCTCACTTGCGCTCTCTCTCTCTCTCTCTCTCTCTCTCTCTCGCTCGTTCGCTCATTCACTCACTCACTCACTCACGCACTTACTCGCTCTCTCTCCCTATCTCTCTCTGTCTTGCGCAGGCGCAGTGCTTGCCAGGCGGCATTAGCAATAAAATTCAATAAAATATTTGCCGACAATTTCTGTTTTTGCCTTCTGCTGTTTGTTACTGTTAAACGGTACATTTGCTATTGATGTTGTTGTTGTTGCTGTTCTTGCTCACTGAGCGAGGAGCTGAGGAACAACAGCTGCCGGCCCCTGTGCATATGCAATATATTATTTGTTTGCCACTTGAGTGGCAAAAAAAACAACAACAACAACAAAAATAACATCGGAAACGTTAATTGCCGGCCGTTGTTGTTTTTGTTGTTGGTCGCTTGCAGTTGCTGTTGTTGCTGTTGTTATTTGAAGTGTATATTGGTGTTGGTGTTCAAGGAGGTCACTTACCTTTTGGTCTGACGAGCCGCTTTTAACTGCTGCTGCTGCTGCTGCTGCTGCAGCTGGTGCCACTGCTGCTACTGCACTTTATCATCATCATCATCATCATCATTATTATTGAAATAACAACGAGTGTTGTTGTTGTTGCGTGTTGCGTGTTGCCTGCCGGTCTCTCATAAATTTTTGCACACCGCTTTTTGAATTGAAATATATTCAGATATATTTTTAATTTAAATTTCTGCATATGTGTATTTATAGATGTATGTATGTATGTATATATATATATGCACATATACACACACATACATATATCTTATTAATTACTATATTTCGCAATTTTCCTTCTTTTTATTATTATTATTATTATTATTATTATTATTGTATTTTTGATTAACATTTAACATTTGGCCCGCGCTCATCATTTAAGGCAGCGTTCTTTATAAATATTTTTCACAACATTTTGACGCGCACACACAACAAAAAAAAATAAAATATTAACAACACCGAACAAAAAACAAAAAAAAAAAAACAAATCAAATATTTTTCTCAGTTGACCAGCATTTATTTATTTGCCGTTTTTCTCTTGAGACTGTTTTTTTTTTTTTTTTTTGGTTTTTCTTTTTTCAACGAATTTATTTCAAAATTGTTCTCGCAGTCAAGGCAACAAAACAATGTTAGCCGCACATGGCCTAGGACGACGCTGCGGTTGCCTGCACTGATTCTCAGCGCGGATGCTTTGTAGAGTTGACGTCGCTGCCGCTGCCGGTGCTGCCGCTACTGCTGCTTCTGCTTTCGCATTTGTTGTTGCTGTTTGTTTTCGGTGCTGCTGCTGCGTCTGCTGCTGCTGCTGGTGCTGGTGCTGGTGCTGCTGCTGGTTGTGTAGCTTAAGCTGCGGCTGTAGCTGTAACTGTAGTTGTACTAGTTGTCATTGTAGTTGTTGTTTCTGCTGCTGTGCTCGATTTGTTCTCTTGCAAAGGGCTCCTCTCAAATTGCCGCCGCTCCCTGCGCCCCATTTTTTTCTCGTTTTTTTTTTTATATTTTGCGCTTTTGCCAGCCCTTCCTGTAACGGCGACGTCATCGAATTACAGCGCGGCGCAGGCGCCTCACATTTCGCTCAACTCAACGCAATTCAACTCAATTCAACTCAGCTCAACGCAACTCAACTCAGCATTGAGTTCAACTCAAAGCTTTAACTCACCTCGGCCGTTGTTTATCAGCTGCGGCGCTGCTACCGTAATTGCTGCTGCTGCCGTTGCTGCGGCTGTTGCTGTTGCTGCGATTGCCGCTTTAGCCGCTTATCGCAGTGATTTGTGATTACTTTTTTACGTTTTGCCTCTTTTTTTATTTGTATTTATTTTTTAGCACAACACACAGTAAAAAAAAAAATAAGTAAAAATGACAACAAGAACAGCAACAAAATAATAAATATATATTTATGTATATATATTTTCTTTGATTTCCTTTCTTTTCTTTTTTTTTTTTGCGTGCACAGAATTTTTCAATCAGCGTTTGCTCAGCGTAAATTATGCGCGCTTATCAGTCACTGACTGAGCCACACACACACACGCACACACACCCACACACACACACACAGTTGGGGAAAATCGCTAATCGTAATTGAAATCAATCAACGATCGCACTCTTTTTTTTTTGTTGGGGTTTTTTTTTTTGGTAATTTTGAAATCAACAACTACTTAAAAAGAGAATCTTCTTAACGCCTTTTAGCATAATTCAAGCGTTGGCAAGGGATCGTGGGGTATGCCGTTTGGGTGGGGGGGTTGGTGGGGGATGCAGGAAGTTCAGTTTTTGGTACACACTTTGAGCCAACAAACAAATAATATCTGATCTGAGTTGAGTTGAGATCGCTGCAAACGAATTGCTGAAGCAGAACGCGACGGCAAATGAACTGAATTAGCTGGCCGCTGGTCTGGTTCGGACCGCACGAATTGGAAACTGAATTGGAAATAGAAAACCCATTGAGACGGCCGGCCCAATCACAAAACAGAATCAGAATCAGAAACAGCAGCAGCAGCAGCAGCAGCAGCAACAGCAGCAATCCACAACAACAACAATAACAACAAGAGCAACATTTGTGTGTGTGTTTTTTGTGTTGAACACAGAGACGGACGCGATTTTAATCACACACGCAAAATAAAGCAAATTTCAAATGAAAAACAGTGCCGAACACAAAAAACCGAACCAAAACCGAACCACATCCGAACCGAACCATGCCGTGCCGTGCCGCACCGAGCAGAAACAACATGGAGCAGCAAATTTGTCGAGCGACAGCATCGAGCGCATCAAATTGAAACGATCAACGGTTCGGTATTGAGATTCGAATTCAGATTCGAATTCGAATGACGATTCAGTTAATTCGACACCTGAATGCCCTGCAAAGCATAGGCAAACATTCTTTTATGATCTTGGCATTGAAGAGATTCATGGTAAATATTGAAGAAGCCAACTAAAAATGATAACTTAAATAGTTCTGAGCTACTTGTAAACATCTTGAATACTAGTTTGAATATTTTTCGAATTGAAAGCAGTAGTTTTAATTTTCAAATAGCAACTAATTTTTAAACAATTTATTGACTGCTTAATAAGGTATAGTTTTCACGAGTCCATAGGAAAAACTAGTGAAATAATTTACTTTTCGCACAATATATGAACTTTATGATGACTAATCAAATTGTATTTTTATGTATTTATCTGTAGTAAATATTGTTAAATGCAACTTAATTATTGAATCGAATCGACTGATTAACACCAATTAGATGTCAGCCGTGCTTTGTTTACAATGATGTTTCTCTGGTATCTGTTTATAAATAATATAATGATTTAGTTAACAGTTTGCCTAGCCAACTACAATGAATGAAAGTATCTCTTTTTGACACTTTTTTGACTACACGCTAATCACTGCTATTTGTCATTCCTTTCGCAATTATTTTCCATTTTCTTGAAAACGATGCGACCCTGAAATATTGCTGTTGTAGCGCAGATGCCGTCGCTCGATTGCGATCAATCTGTTGCTGCTGCTGTTGCTGCTGCTGTTGCTGCTGCTGCTGCTGCTATTGTTGCTGCTGCTATTGCTGCTGCTGCTGATGTTGATCACGCTCTGATATTGAATGCATTTGAATGTTTGCGAATATGTATATATGTTTATATATATATATATAATGTGTGTGGATGTGTGAGTATGCTGCGGTTGTTGTTGCTGTTGTTGCTGCGGTTGTTGTTGCTGTTGTTGTTGCTGTTGTGGACTGTTGCTGTGCACATTGCTTATTAGCCAGCAGCGGCACGCAGCGATCGACAACATTATACTTTTTTGTATATATGAATATATATGTATATATATATTTATATATCTTTTTTTTTATTTTGGAATAGGCAAATGAAATTGATCGATGCTCGTGCATGCTGTTGTTGCCGTTGCTATTGTTGTTTGTTATTATAATTACAATCAAAGTGAAGCGGCTGCGACAGCGACGCTGTCAGCGCCGTTGTCACAGCAATAATAACAACAACAGCAACAACATCAACAACAGGAACGCTGACGTCGACAGAACAACGGAACCAAACAAACAAACAAACAAACAAACAAACAGACGGACAGACAGACAGACAGACAGACGGACTAACAAACCGAAGCAAACCGAACCGAACCGCACCGGAACGCACCACACCGCACCGCACCGCACCACACAACCGGGGTGGTCGTCGATCCAATCGCAATGTGGGAAGAGAACTGCGTCGCCGTCGCAACTCAACTGCGAACTGTAACTGCGAACATAACGCTGCGCTAACTACTACGTTCGCATCGGTGTCGGTGTCGGTGTCGGTGTCGGCAACGGCATCGCCATCGGTGTCCGTGTCCGCGTCGGTGTTGACGTCGACGTCGACGTCAACGTCGCTGCTGCTGGCTGTGCTGTGTTCTACTGTGCTGCTGACGTTGTTAACGATTTTCAAATAGCGCATCGCATATGAAGCAACCACCCCCACACCCCACACACCACAACCGGCCACAACCCCTTCCTGCAAACAATTGGCGAAATTGGACGCGAGCCGTTTGTGTCGTCATTAGCTACGTCGACGTCGACGTCGACGTTGGCATTTGTTTGTTGTTGCTGTTGTTGTCGCTCGGCATTTGGCATGTCTGCTTGGAGCGCTTATCAGATAGCACTCGCAGCAGCAGCAGCAGCAGCAGCAGTCAGCGCAAAGTTCTACAGCTGTGATAGCGCAATGGCCTTCTCCCGGTTAGCGATATCAACGGCAACTGACCCAGTCCCTCATATCCCCAATCGGTTATGAGTTATCAACTAGTTGCTAACAATAAAGATTTTCAGGAAATAAATAAATAAATAAATAAAAAGTTCGATTTCTTTTCCCCCTTTTTGTTGCTTTACATTTTTGTCATACTACAAAAAATATCTTCTGCCATCTGTACAAATAAATTCCAGCTGATTGACTGATTAATGATTGGTTGATTGATGGCCAAGGCCCTTCCTAATCGTAAGTGCTAGATTAGTGCTAAGATGATATTGTTCAACTTATCATGTTTCATTATGGGATCAATGTAAACACGTCAACACACTTCCACTGGGCAAACTCGATCCACAAGTTGAACTAAAATGATATTTAGATACCCGATTTTTAGATACCCTAAACCCGAGTCTGAACCCATCATAAACAGAGCGTCAAATCTCACACGGTAAACCGATGGAAACTGAATCGAAATTGGAACCGAAATTTAGCATTTGTTTACGGTAAAGAATTATGTAGAAAGAAAAGCATTAATACTCCAGATAGATACACCTATACACGTTAGGTAACAGAACTGGAAACAGAACAACATGTTGCAATAATGATAATATTTATTTTTGAAGATATCAAATCAAGAATCGGTTTAGTTTTGACTGTGGATAGTTTGAAGTTGGAGTCTACCCGATCGACTCTGCTACGCTCCATGCTCAAACTTCATTGTTTGTAAATTAAACGATATACACAGTTGATCCTTATCCTTGTAAATATATGTAAAGAGTTTTTAGAAATTGTAATACTACATTAAAGATAAATTGTTAATAACAACGTCGTTTAATCGTGTGTGCCTCTTGTTGCAGTCAATAAATTATTGTTACAGGAGAAGAAGTTTAAGCCTGATTCGACTATATTAAATTTTTGAGAAATGTTAGAAATTTTACAATTTCTATTTGAATAATTGTTTTTACATCTATATTATAATAGCTGTTTATTTATTTTACCAATCACAAATTACTAACAAACAGAGATTTAAAATGAGTTCGCGAAATGCTACAGAAATGTGTGAAATTTGTGCGAAATCTTTATTAGTTTTGAAAGATATTTTGATTAGGCGTTGATTGAAAAGAAAGTCGCATGCCGCACACATTGATTGAAAGATCTCGCTGGAAGGGGAACAAACAGCAATAATAATAATAATAATAGTAATATGAATGGCAATAATAATAATAATAATAATAATAATAGTTATAATAATAATGCTGATTATCGCATGCAAATTCATAATCTGCTCGCTGTTTGCTTATTTTGGGCAGCGTTCATCAATTAGTTGTGAATTTTTGATTTGCATTCCCAGTAGTCGTTAGTTATATGCGATACACACACACACACACACACAGTGGGCATATATTGATGATATATGCACTAAATATTCTGTTGTCGTTGTGAACTAAATGCGTCAATTAAATAACAAAAAATATACAAAAGCTCACAGCTACTCGGGCCATAGATACACAGATACATGTGTATTAGATACACCCACACCTGCTGCAGATACACGCGCTTCTGTGTCTGTGTGTGTGCGTGTGTGTGTGTGTATGAGTGTGTGTCGTGTGGTTTCAGTTCAGTCGGTGCCTATAAGTAACCCATCATCATCTGTATATGCACAATGTGTGCGCTATTTTTGAAATCTTTAATTTAATTTATTCTTCGCTTTTCAAATTTTTATTAGCACTTTAATGACATTTCGCTGATTTTGGCGCATTGAGTGCTGCCCCCGCCACACACATGGGACACACATATAGCAGCTATACCGCCCCGACCCGCCTACGTCTGCATCACCATCACCCTTTTGTCATATGACAACTAACCCTATTCCAAGTCCATTGCCTGTCCGGCCTGTTACGTGGGCTCATTAAGAATTTTTAGTTTTTAATTGACAAACTGCGACTGCGAAAAAATATAAATTAATAAATAAATTGAAGAAAGCAACAACAAAAATAATAAAAACAACAACGACAACGACAATCGCACACAAAACAACTAAAGAAAATAAAAATGGCAAGCGAATAGATTTCGTTTTATATTTTCGATTTTATAATTTTCTAAATGAGCCAAAAAGATGTCAGGGGCTAAGAATTGGAATGCGACAGCAATGTTGACAGCAAGTCGAACTATTATGTGTGTGTGTGTGTGTGTGTGTGTGTGTGGTGTGTGGAAGGGGTGAAAATTGTTGGCCAAGACACAACATCAAGGTGATTCGATAACTAACAGATTTACATACAAAGACACACACACATGAAATGCCCATCAAAAATCGAAAGATACTGTATCTCAACGCATAATTGAATATGAAATGAGAATGCTGTTTGAGTACATGAGTACACTCATGGGCATTCATACTCACACTCGCACTCACACTCATTAGCTAATTGAAGTTACAGCTTGCTTCAGAACTTTCAAATACATTTTTCGATAACATTATCAACTTGAAAGTGTGTCAGATGAAACTATGCGATTCGAATGCATTTCAAATATGATCAAAAACAAAAAAGGAATGTTTTGACTATTCACTGATTGAAATTAAAAATCAGAATTCAAAATTTTTTAATACTCAAATACCGAAACTAATTATCATATTATTTGTCCCGAAAAGATCGTATCGGAAAAAAAACCTCGGAATGGAACATGATAATGGTCGATCCCGATACTTAGGAGTATCTATGTGTCTGTGTCTTTGTTGGATCTTGAGCCTGATCAAGGACACATATACCTGTTGTGGCAGAAGACTTACATATTTTAAAAAAACCAACTTTTTTTTTAGGTACACGCTCAATTGGAATTGGATCCTTCACTGCTTAAACTGTTCTTTATTTTAAATATGACCATGATTACCATGAGCAGTGCTGCCAGTTCACACAATCCAAACTTCGACTTTCAACGGATAATGATATAATCTAATATATATTCATTTGGCTTCTTAAAGTTATTTTCAAGATTTGTTGACCAAGTTGAAAGTTCTCTGTTCCAGTTAAAATTAACAAGCAAAGCTTTTTTTATTCGTGACTTTGCAATCAATACTGTCCACTTTTTGTGATTTTCTTGAGAATATATATATATATATATATGCTTCTACACCCGGCAGTACTCGTTCAGTTGCTCGTAATGATATCCAAGGCCAACTCGAGTTTGTCATGATTTTTGGTTGTGCTTCCAACTGTGATTATATATTGTTTATTTGTTTTTTACCATGCACATCTTCTATTAGCACCACGCCGCCAAATGAACGAGCGTTTTCATTGAAAAAAACAAAATACACAAACACACATTGATAAAAAAATATATATATATGTATAAACATACATATATATAAATATATATCAAACAATGAAAACTAAGACGGAGCGCAGGGAGTGGTCTTGGAACAGTTGGCCAAAGCGCAACAGTTATTTATTTATTTATTTATTTTAAATCAATACAGCGCCCAAAACCAAACGGGGCAATTACTTCCGCCTACTGGCTGGGCAGGGTTAATGTAAGCAGGTGGAGTTCATCAGGGATGCGGACTCACTGCCGGCTTTAAAAAGGGTTTACGGTTTACCAAAAACTAACCGCAACAGCCGACTTCCCAACCCCAACCCCACCCCTAGCCTCAACCACCCTCGCGGCTTCTATCTGTGGGGGGTATGTATGTGTGTGTGTGTGTGTGTGTGTGTGTGTGTGTGAGCGATTGTAGCTTTGTTACCTACATTTGATTTGGCTAATATTTAATGGCTGTTGCTTGTTTTTTTTATGCACATTATTTGTTTGTCGAGCGAGAAACACACGCACACACGCACAGACACGCACGGGATGAGACGCGCTGCGGCTGACGGCGGGGCGAACGTGAAGCAACAATGCTGCGATAATATAACGGTAACGGTAACATGTAACGTTAACGGTAAGCATGTAAACAGAACGAACGCGTCGCGTACAAAACGAAACGAAACGAAATGGAACCAAAAAAAAAAAAAACCGAGCAGCAAGCGTTTTAATGTTTACCGTTGCTGCTGCTGCGGCGGCGGCTGGTGATGGAGCTGCTGCTGCTGCTGCTGCTGCTGTTGGTGCTGCTGTTGACGACGCGCCATACGATTCGTCCTGCCCGACGACGTGCGTGCTAATAAAACGCCGACGACGTTGCTAAAGCCGCCAGGTTGCGGCTGCCAAAGCTCGCTGGCAATATCTGCTGCTGCTGCTGCTGTTGGCGCTGCCTTTGCTGCTACTGCTGCTGCTTGCAAAATGAGCCCTTCCCCACCACACCCCCCGCCCCAAACACCCAAAATGTGAGTCGAGTCTCAAACAAATGAGTTGAGTCGAAAGTTGAGCTATTGAGCCCAACTCAACCGTTACGCACTCGCTCTCTCTCTCTCTCGCTCTCGCTCTGTCTCTCTCAAATAGAGTTGAGCGCGTGTCGTGACACGAGCTACACTTCGTATAAATAAAATTGAATTTGAAAAACATTTAATCACAACAGAAAAGAAAAACAGAAAAGAAAAAGAATAACTTATTGAGTTATTGGCATAAAACGGTTTTATCTGTGGCGCTCTGCGTTTTGGCCTCATCGAAAAAGAGCCGCAACAAATCGTCCTTCTTCAGCTGGGCGCCGGCCAAACGTTCCGCGCCCTGCCAGCGAATGAGCGTGGGTATCTCCACCAAGGAATATGGAGGCTGACGGAACTTGTTGTCAACGGTATCTTTCCATGCCAGCCGATTGCCAACGTCGACGGTGAAAATCAACGAATTCTGATGCGAATATTCACGAAATGCGGTATTTACGGTCTCCTCAACTGTGCACAATCAAATTTAATATATTTGAATATATTTGCTATTTATTTATATGTGTGTATTTGCACTCACCGGCTACGCAATCGGGACACCAGCTTTGGCCATTGCTGTCCTTCTCGCCAAAGAAATAGATATAAATAAGGCAATTGGGTTTCGCGTGCACTTTCAGTGCATCCTCCAGCTGCTTGTAGCCCTGTATCGGCATGTATTGCGGCATCTTGTTGCTTGTGGCGAGTGTGCGATTATTGTACGATAAGTTCGTGGGCCGATTTGATAAGCTTTGATAATTGACGGTTTACAACCTAGTTTTGTTATCGCCCACACAAATTGGTTCGCTGATCAACAAAAACAAACCGGCAATTTTATTGTTCTGCGACATCTGGCCACACACAGAATAACACGGCTAACAGAGTGCTGTCAACCTGTGCAAAGAATATTTGTGAGTATTTTTTTGCAAACGATTTATTGAGTGTCATTAAAAAGGGTTGGCAGCGTGCTGAGCAAACATTGCGCGGTAAAAATTGTGAATTTCTTTTCTATTTCAGATTTTAAATTAAAAGGGGACTAAAAATAGTCAATCGAACAAATAAAGAAGCCTTTTACTCAAACATTTATGCAATAATGTATTAAGTAATATAGGTAGTTATTTTATTTATGCATATTTTGTATTATATGTGAATAAATCCACCAGGTTCAATGGATTAAATATATTTTTGAAACATTTTAATAAGACATATTTGTTGAGTTTTGAATTAAAATATTTATATATATAGAATATATATTTTTGATGTGCTTTTGCTCAAGTACACAAAGATATAGTTTATCAGTGGAAGAAATGAAACTCGAGAATGCAACGCAAGTCAAACGCAGCTTTTATTTAAATCCCTGACCCACATATAAATAAACATAAAACATAACTCTGCAGATACAGTTACATATATACATACAGTGTCTCGCAGTTCAACTGGAACAGCGCCTAGCAAAAAAGTTAATTGCCTGCCATAAACAAATTATTCAATATTTTTCAAAAATTCCAAAGAACTATGGCAGGTACATATATTGACTACCTAAATGACTATATGACCCCCATAAACTGGGGTTTTCCCACCGGCTAGGTCGGGTTATGTAAAAAAGTACCTTAATTTGTGGTCACATATTATGTGGAACAATGGCGTTATGGACACCTGGGTGCCATAAAACCCAGATTTTTTACGTCAGGTTGATTATTTTTGGTATAAATAGACCAATCCTTCGTAGTCAGATTAGTTATATCCTGCATCTCGAGTGCAACCAGCCAACAAGGACTATGGGCAAACGGACTACCATTGAACAACGGAAACTGATCCTGGAACACTTCAGGATTGGATATTCATATCGCCAAATAGCTAAAATGGTAAATCTGAGTACCACAACTATATTCAATATCATTCGGCGCTTCGTCGACGAAAATCGGATAGAGGACAAGGGCAGAAAGGCACCAAACAAGATTTTCACCGAACAGGAGGAGCGGAGGATCATCAGGAAAATAAGGGAAAACGCCAAGCTATCGGCTCCAAAACTGACTCCACAGATGGAGGACGAAATGGGGCAAAAGTGTAGTGTGGAAACTGTGCGCCGGGTTCTGCGCAACCATGACTTTAATGCCCGAGTACCACGGAATAAGCCCTTTATAAGCGCAAAAAATAAAGGGACTAGGATGGCATTCGTGAAAACCCACTTGGACAAGGATTTGGAGTTCTGGAACACATTCATATTTGAAGATGAGCCCAAATTAAACATTTTTGGCTCAGACGGACAAAATTATGTGTGGCGACAGTCCAATACTGAGCTGAGTCCCAAAATCCTAAAGGCAACAGTCAAGCACGACGGAGGAAGTGTTATGGTATGGGCATCTATCTCGGAAGCCGGCGTCGGAAATTTTGTGTTTTTTGAAACAACAATGGACAAGAGTGTGTATTTCAATATATTAAAGGAAAATTTACTCCAAAGTGCCAAGAAGCTAGGAATCCGACGTACTTTCCAGATCTACCACGACAACGACCAGGACAAAAGCCAAGCATAAGTCCGGATTAGTACAGTCCTGGCATATCTGGAACTGCCCCCACATGATAATTCGACAGGCCCAGTCTCCAGACTTAAATGTTATTTAAAATTTGTGGGCTCTGCTCGAAAATAACATCCGGAATCACAGATCCGATCTCAAGAATGCTCTGCTGGATGAGTGGAGCAAACTCAGTCCAGAAACCACCCGGAAGCTGGTATCTTCCATGAATAATAGGTTAAGGGAGGTTTGTAAGGCTAAGGGGTATCATACTAAGCATTAAGATCCTTATTTAAGTTTTTATACGCCTAATAAGTTACTTTTCTAAGACTGTTCCAATAAAACTTTGACATGTATTTTGGATAAGTTTTAAGTTTTGACTAATTTTAGTTAATTATTTAATATTTTAATAAAAACTGAAGCTTCCTTTTCAAACGTGATATAACATAAAACAAATTGGCATTTAAACATTTTGCGTTTATTGTTTGGTTTAAAAGTTATAGCACTTTAAATATTTTGCTAGGCGCTGTTCCAGTTGAACTGCGAGACACTGTATATCGAAGAAAGCGCCGATGAACTTGAACTCCATGGAAATGCATTTAATGTTGGGGGTCAGAGTCGTAAAGTGCCGACGTTGTCGAAAATGTTGCATATAATGCGCAACACTCAACAAATTGGCAAACAGAAAGAGATCCGCAGTTGAACGAACACAAAGATGGGTAAGCTAAGATCCACCTTATTTATCTGCACAGTCTTAGCTATATGTGTCTATATAATTGCATAATTGCAGCTTGCCAGCAAATGAACTTGAGTCTGATCCTAGTGCTTTTGATGGCACTTGTTGCCTGCGAGCAACTTGTGGCCAATGCCAATGCCAGCAAGATTGCCTACAAGAAGCCACTCTTTGGCAAAGCAGCCTATGCCGCCAAGGAGAGGCGCCTCAAGCTGCGTTCAAGCAGCAGCAGCAGCAGCACCACCACCACCACCACCACCAGTACTCCCAGCACCACAACTGACATGACGGATTGGCCAGTGGAGTTTATTATAAATACCACGCCGCGGACAACATCCAGCATGAAGCCAGCGGACATAGCTACGACAAGCATAGCCAGCAGCACCTTGGCGCAGGAGGCGGACAATAATAGCAGCAGCAGCAGCAGCAGCAGCAGCAGCAGCAGCACCACCACCACCAGCAGCACCACCTCCACCAGCAGCACAACAACAACAACGCCATCGAGCTTGGACAACACATTGCCATCGCCGCCGATGCCAACGAATGCGAATGCAGCACAAGCACAGGGGCAGGTGCCATGCACCTGTGGCGTCTTCCTCTCCTCGCAGATACAGAACGGTCTGCCGGAGACGCCGCTCATCCACAGCGAAATGGATCGCATGTATCCGTGCAATGCCATCGGACGCAAACAGTGCCAGACCAAGTGCCTGGAGGCGGTGAGTTGCAGGACAGGCGATAAATAAATTGTGCTCATTGATCTCCTTTTTTGTTTGCTTGCAGATTGTACAGCATTTGCCCAACTCGGCGAATATTGTGTGCTCGACGCTGGGACACAATTGTCACAAGGAGCGGGCGTATTTGTTCATCAAGAACTGCCACAACCAGTGGGTGAACACGAATCTGCAGGCGGGGCGCGAGTATTGCTGCCGGGAGGGTGTCCCCTATCGTTGTCCATTGCTGGGCTAATCGCCAAAGTGTCTAACGTTTGCATATTTTTGGCCAATTTTGATCACGAAATAAATATAAAAATACACAGCACAACATTGATGCGTATCTTAATAACAGCCCCTTAACAGCGGTCTGCCTATCGATAGCCAGTATTTATTAGGTATTTTATTTAAGTCAATAGCAATCGATAGGAAGGAACTCGGCGCGCAAGAAAATTCAATTTATATGTTTGTGTGTGTTCAACCTACAAACCAATCGATTTGGCATATTGAAGTTGTACCAACAAAAAAGGGGGATGCCATTATAAGAACACATAAAATATACCAAAATGTCTCATTTGGTATTTTACGAATAAGGTCACTCTCTTCTTTCTGTATGTGGGAGATTTGAAAATGAAATGGAGGAAATATTTAGTTAGTTTATTGAATAATACTATAATGTGACACAACACATTTCGATTGTGCAATGTGCTGATTCAAGGGCGAAGCCAGCCAGGGAATGACTTTTTTTCATCGATTTTAATCGATGCGTCTATGTAAAGTTAAGATTAAGAGGGTCGGCTGACCGGCCCCTGCCCATACCTGGCTACGCCTATGGGCTGATTTATATTCGGTTGTCCATTGACCTTATATTAGAAACATGTACAACATTTTCCGCTAGGTGGCGTTAGATAAAATCAAATGTAATGGCAAATTCACTTGGCTATGCTTGGCAGCGCCACCTTGCGGTAAATGTGTCAAACTGAACAATTAAGCATCCCTACCGATAATCGAGTATCGATAAGTACCCCCAAATGCAATAGCTCTGTTAACTTTACGTTGTTGTGTTGTACTTTGTGTTTTTAGTATTTCCATTTGTTCAACACGTAAACAATTTGTTTGTATGCCAAACGCAATCGAGACAAACATATGCGTAAATAGTCAGTAAATCACAAAATATGATACACAGCCTGTTCATAGTCAACAGCAGCGGGTAAGCAGAGCAGCGCCAGCTACAAGTTACCAGCTGTGTTGCAAATTCCTCTAGAAGCGAATTGAAATCATTCATTTGTGTTGCACAAACTAACTAACTTTCTACAACACACACACACAGGGAGGTTTTTCTGGAGAAGCATTGGCGCTCGGTTGTCTCGCGCTCCGTTTGCGAATACTTTCTCGATGCGCAGCGTGCAGCGCCATACGTAAGTTGCATGC